GGAAGGGAAGTGGTACCTCCTCCGCGCGTGTTTTCGGTCTTTCACCCCAGACATTCAGGCCAACTTATCAATCTCATCTACACCCCTTATCCGGACTTACCTACGTATTTACCCCATAACACATTTCCATAGTTCTTATTGCAATACTCTTTCTTTCATGAAAATAAATACTTTCAATCTAAATTCACAATGCATAAATAAATAGATAACAATTGAATGAGTATGCAATTGCAAATGATTTTTCCATACCTCATAACATTTCTCCATTTTCAAATGTCTCCACAATAATGTCAATAATCACATTCCCATTACCTCTTTTCAATGTTCTTCCACAAGATAACCATATGTCATCAACACATAGTTACAATTTCACACTTTGCAAGTCTTAACAATTTAGTCTCTTCAAGACTACATGTAGTGTTTTCAAACATTAATCTCAAATGTTTATAATTCTCACAAATCCATAGTGCACAACAATTTGTTATTTCACAGCCATATATCATCATATATTTAACAATAGTTTCTAAAACAATTTCTTCATTTCGATATATCAATTTGATTGCCATTTTGTCAAACCACATCATGAAGCCTGCACATATCCATTCTTTTATCACAAGAAGAATAAAAACACTCTAGACATTTCCATACTTTCCAAAATCCCCCAAATTTCTAGTGTTTTTCATCATAAACCAAACATTTCCATTTCCTTGGTGAAACCCTACCAAAACCATTTTTCTTGAGTTTAATAAAAGGGAAATAACCCTACGAGTAACAAAACGGTTGGGATTTAAAACCCCCTCTTAAAACTCTCTACATTTTAGGTCTCCAAATAAACATCAACATAAGATTTCAAGAAAACATTTTAAATCAACATAATTATATCAAAACATGTATATATAACTCAAGAAATCCCTACCTCAAGGTTTTGGAGAAGACGGAGAGAAGAAACCCTAGAGGCAAAGGATGAGAGACCTTTGACTTCCACCACACCAAGTGAAGCTCTAGCTCTTGATCTTCAAGATTAATAAGAGATGATGATGATCTAGACCCAAGGGTTGCAAAAATAAAAGAGTTTTAGTGTTTTGAGGAGGTTTTCTAGAGAGAAGGAGGAGAAAAATAGGGTTTAGAGTGAGAGAAAGAAGCCCCAAAATGAGATACAATTCGGCCAAAAAGAGGAATAAAAATAGAGGTTCAGACTGCCCAGTTGGCCGCACGTGTGATGCCCTTCCCCGCATGTGCAGAGTGTCTCTCCAGCACATGCGGCCTTCACCCCTGCATGTGCGGTGCTCCCTTCCCGCACCTCACTCCGCACGTGCTGTCTCACTCCCCGCATGTGTGGCCCTAGCCCAGCAGCCCAAAATTTTCTGGTTTGGTCCCCGGGCACTCCGAACTCGACCATGCACCCACCGAAACAAAAGAAAAGATGACCCAAAAATAAACAAGGATGAGAGTTAGAGAAAAAGCATTCAGGCACGACAATCCCAAAGGAAATGAAAAAGAAGAGACGTGTAACAAAACCAATCATCATAATTAGTGAGTATTGCTACTAGCCATCTAAGTGCAGTGGTTGGTCGCTCACTACTTGAAGTGAGTGAGCGAGCCAGAATCTTGCGTGACGCCAGAGCCATTGTTGAATGTCAATTAGGTACCATAGATGGAGCAGTCGTCAGAGATGTTTCTCAATTTGGGGAAGCCAACCATATGAGGCCATTTTGCTTAACCCAAATGGAGTTGTTGACCTTGGCGGCCACTCTACTGGGCAAATGAGTAGTGGCAAAAATAAAGACTAAGCCATTGAAGGTCCATTTAGAGAAAGCGTGCTCTGAGCTGGAAGTGGCCAGAATGAAGATTGTTAAGTGGCGAAAGACAACACGAAGTGCTTGCACCAAAGGGCTTGTGTATGAGCAACGTTTAAAAGGGATAGAAGTGTTAAGGTAAATGATTTATGGATCAAATGTTTAGCATCAAAATATTTGGTGTTGTGTTTTTGCAAATATTTTGACATAGGATTTTAGTAAATGACTTGTTGGTTAGATGTTTAACATTAAAATATTTGGTTGTAATTTTGAAAATATTTTGACATAGGATTTGGTAATGTATTTATGGGTTTGATGTTAGTAGTTTGTAAGTACTTTGGTATGCATGTTTTAGATTGTCAGAGAATTGTAATTATGTTTATTGGGATTTTTCATAGTTATTAATTTTGAATTAGTATGAATGTCTTGCACAGGTGTATTATTATTTACATTACATTTTGTATATATTGTGCACAGGAAAACAGGTGTTTTGGATTATTTTGAACAGGAAAATTATTAAAATCAAAATTTGTGTACTGAATTTTTAGTGACGGGTGGTATTTTGGTCGCTGTTAATATATTTGGCGACAACATATTGTTTTTGTCGCTAAAAGTTAGTGGTTATTCCAAGAACTTTTAGCAACCAAAACTTACTCGTCGCTAAAAATGTGATTTTTAGCGACCAAATTAATTTTGTCGTTAAATAGTACTTTTGGCGACGTATTTATTTGTCGTTGAAACTACATAGCCTATCAAAATTTTAACCTTTTAGCAACAAATTGTAATTTAATAGCGACAAAATATATGATTTTTGGCGACCAATTTTGCTTGTCGCTAAATGTTTACCTACGGTGACAATTTCTGATTTCGTTGCCAATACTTTTAGTGACAGGCCTTTGGTGACAAGTTGTATATTTGTCGCCGATTCTTTTGGCGACGGAATTTGTACTTTTGGCGACGAATTTTTGGGTCGCTAAATGTGTTTTTTGTTGTAGTGTTTCTTTCTAAATTCATGAATCAAATAGCCACTACAAGAAATGACATTTTTGACAACTAAAATATTGGCTGCCAAAAGCCCCATGTTTGCTCGCTAAAACTAATTAGCGACTAAATTTTTTTGTCGCCAAGGTCGTTGCCTATACCCTATCGGCAATAGTATTGGCGACTAAACTATGTTTGGTCGCCGAAATTGAATGTTTGGCTACTAAACTTTGGTTAGTCGGCAAAGGTTGTCTTTTGGCGACTAAATATTTAGTCGCCAAAAGTGTTCAAATAAAATTAATTTTAGTTTTTAGCAACTAAAACTTTTAGTCGTGGATAAGTTTTGGTTACAATATTGCTACTTTTAGGGACCAAAGAATTTAGTTGCCAAAAAAATTATTTTTCATTTTATTTTATCTTTTGCTACTAACTATTTAGTCGCCCAAACTCTCATTTATTTTTGGCTACTAAATATTTAGTCACCAAAAAAATTTATTTTTCGTCTCGTTTTCGCCTACTAAACTATTTAGTTGCTTAAAGTCTCATACAGTTTTGGCTACTAAATTTTTAGTCGCTAAAAATCTTTGGATTCTTTCTGGCTACCAAATATTTAGTCGCTAAAAATATTGATTTCCTTTTTGGCTACCAACCGGTTAATCACCAACAAGTTCACTTTTCTTTTCTTTTTTTGGCTACTAAATATTTAGTCACCAAAAACTTTATTTAGCATTTTTTTATTATAATTAATTTTTCCACAACCTGTATTTATTTCATGCAACCTGCACCCTGTATATAAACAAAACAATACATACACCTATTTCTATTTCGTTTCAACCATACAAAAATTTGGTCTTTTAATATCAAATTCTACACAAACCAAATATAATCCAACCAAAAATAATAATTCCATACAAACAGAGGATCATACAAAAAAGATGTCCTCTGTACACAAAAAAAAAATATCCACTGGTAATCTACATATACCACGCCAATAGTAATATGTTCCTTCTGTTACCTTGATAACCATCTTTTGCAAAAGTAGAAGTCACAGCAATTCCATCTTAAACCAACAAACTTAACCATCTTTAGACGCATCATCAAACACTTAAAAACCTTCTTTTGTGATGTCTAGTAATAATCTTGGTTAAAATTTATGTTGGTGAAGGGAATGGTTGTGATTGCAGTGATGGGTTTGGAGAGAACAATGAATCCATTGATCTAAATGCCAGCTGAAGAGATCTATGGCTTCATTGAAGTGTAAATTCAAAACCTCTGTTCTGCACAGGATCTTATAATTTGTCTCGCTAAAAATTCACAAAGAAAAAAAAAGAAAGAAAGAGAGAAATAAGAAGATATCTGACAAAGAATAATAGCTGTATCAGTGCTCTTTAAGTCTGGAGCCAAATATTGGCAGTCAGGGTGCCCATTATACCACCAAACAAATTCTCTAGCCGAGTGTATCCCTCCCAAATCCTGGAAAGAAAACCAAGAAGAAAGACATAAACAACAGAGACTACAACTGCCTTCGAAGTATTTGACTATCACCAGTTTAAAGATACAAGGCCACAAAGTCTTCCATCAACACAATTATGCATATCGATTGTATAGATGACTGGCCTCGTTTGGCAAGTTAACATTTTAGCCAAAAAGTCAAAAAGTTGCTAAAAAAACCAAAAAGCCTATAACTTATATAAAAAAGTCAAAGATTTTCTTTTCTCTCTACTTTTTGCGCATCTTTCCGTAAAAAATCAAAAAGTCACTCTAAACATACTAGTTTTTTTACCTCATATTTTAGCTAAAAAGTCAAAAAGTAAATAAAATAGCCTGTTCCCAAATGACAAACAAAAACAAAAACAAAAATTCTATACATACTTCTCCAGGGATACCAAGAACTCTATCACTTTCAACACCATAGGCAAGCACAACCTGGTCAGCAAAACACATATTCATCAAAAAAACAAAACTACTTGTGATCAATTAATACAAATCAGCACAAGATCTCATCTAGAGTTGGCATCTTACCACATGATACATGTAACGCCCTCAAAATAACAACAATAAACCCATCAGATAAGACATGCATTTACATATAAACTAACCACACTCTTTTATTCATTAGAGTTTCATTACATAAGTATTACATGTTAATATCAAAAACAAAATGCCCTACGGGCTTACAGCTTTCCAAGTTAACACTTGGTTACAACAAAAGAGTACTAACTCGTTTACACATTAAGCCCTAGGCTTGAAGTTACATGTAATACATCAAAAGTAAAGTTAAGTTTCTGATCATGTTGTAATTTAGTGGCCTTTATAGCTGAATGAAGTGGAGTTTTTTTTTTTTTGTTATTTTCCCCAGCTGGTGCATAAGCATACACATACATATGCATTATATACACTGCGATTTGACCACTCTGGCATTGGCTTTCAACTGTGCAATTGTATTACAATAATTATAAAAACTTCAACTTTCATTAAACAAATAATTAAAATACATATACATACTCATCATAGAGAAGTACACACAGGAACAGCTAGTTTGGTCAAGTTTATTTTTCCCTCCACAAAGCCTTACACAAATCCAATAGCCAAACACAGCCTGAGAGAATTAGCATTCTAAGTTTAAGGCTAGCAACAGCTAGTTTGGTCAAGTTTACCTATAATGTAATGTACTTCCCTACATTTGTACATTCTCTTAGGTATAAGATGAAAATTCCTCATAGACTAATAACCCACCCACTTGACCTATACGGTAACTAATCCATTGACATTTTTAAGTATACTTGAATCGTCGCCGCACCTATGGTTAGCATAATGAATTACTTAAAGAGTCATAACTGAGTGTTGCAGCTTGTCTTGTGGAGCCATAAGTAAGGATAAAGAAAATAGATGCATTTAATCACAAGACCAATCCCGTATTCAACAATGATCTCACTCACTCTCTTATCCGGAATAACCTTCCAATCACTTTAATACTGATCTTATAATCATTAAATCAACAACGACCTCACTCTCTCAGCTTGAACTACTTGAAAAGATAAAATTGCAACAAACCATTAAAACTTGGAATAAAACACAATATTAACTCATCCTATACAGTTCTAATTACTGGATAATGGGCCAGCATACTTTGCTAAGTTACTTAATGGGTAAATTACACTGCTCTCTCATAAGGTTTGGGTTTATTAGAACAAGTCCCACTAGTTTCATGAAATTATATTGAGCTTCACTGACATAGTTAGTTCACCAACAGACCTAACAGAAATGTTGAATTTGTAATTGCCCTCTCATAAAACAATCATTTTACACCAAAAAATGACTTTACCTAATTTCCCTCTTCTCTCTTCTCTGCCCATCTTCTTCCTCTCTTTTTTTTCTATCATATTCTCTGTTCTCCATCGTTCTCTTCCCCTCTCCCCCTACCATCGCACGTCAATAATATATTTTTTATTCAAGAATTCAAATAAGGTGATGATGTGCCTCAATTTGGTGCTCAAAAGATGGAACCACCTAGGAGAACTAGCCAAACTTATTGACAAAGAACATTTGAAAGGTGAATGGGAGGGGAAAACAGTTAGATTATATCCCACATGGCTGTTGATCTAACAGGAATCACCCATCTTGACATTCTTGCTTCAATCACACCCCTTTTTTTTTTTACTATATTGTTTCTTAATGTGGAAAGCAGAACTGCTCTGAACTGATATAAGGTGGAGTGCTGAAATTTGCCGTGCTGTGTTTGTTGTGTTGAAATTTGCTGTGCTGAAATTTGCTTTGCTGTGCCGTGCTCTGCTATGTTTGTTGGAAATCTTGTTTTGCTGAGTTGTTAAACTTATTTGAGCTGGAAATTTGTGGGCTGCTGGAAATTTATGGATGAATCTGCTGTGTAAGGTCCATGTATGCAAAGTTTGCCTTCCTCTCTGCTGTGTCTGCTGTGCTTGTTCTATTCAGTTTTCTTTTCTGTTCTGTTTTTGGTTCTCTTTGTCTGTGTTCTATTCTTCTGCTTTTTTTTTTTTCCTTTCGGGTTTGGTTCCTCACCAAACTCCTTCCCTTTATTCGATGTAATCTCATATCTTGTATGATTTTCCATCTATAAAGGTTCCTCTTTTTTTGCTGATAAAAAAAATAAATAAATAAATAAAAGAAGACCTTCATATGGTTGTTTATTGACTTGGAAAAGCAAATGATAAGTAAGTTCCATCAATCACCAAATTAGAAAATTAGTTTCCACATAAGATTTTCTTAGAATACAACCAAATTTATTTTTTTGCTGTGTAGTCTGAAATTATGTGGCAAAATCTTGATAGATATTTTGTGTATCGGTGACCCTTTTAATAATTTCATCATATAACATTCATTTCATGTCCACTCTCCATTGATTTCATGTATAGTGCGATTTTAATTTAAACTTTGATTTACAATTCAAATGTTATAGGTTATTGGCTAATGCAAAGAGATAAAGAAGCTGCAATCATTCATTGGGGGCAATTACTACATCAAGTAAGCTTTGACTATATTTTAGGGCATTTTTAATTATTTTTCGATTCGGGTTTGGATTCGCATCTAATAAACTCATAGCCTCACTGAAATAAAAGTGCGAAAATAAATACATCTGAAAGGAGTTTTTTCAAACGGGGTTGCCAAGAATAAAAACCTAACAATAACCTTATTAAATTTAATAAACACCTATGATCTTGAAACTATATAACCTTATTAAATTTAATAAGTCTAGTTGTCAAAAAAATGGGACTAGATACGTCATTTAGACAAGTCAGGGGTCAGACTCGAGGGAAGAGCATAGCACGTCTCATAGCTAACAATGGTGGTAACAAACTTCATCAGAGGAATCTTATTGACAAACACTTTTGTAAGTATATTTTTCATAATTTACTTTTCAAATCACTACAAGCATTTCATTTAATATGTTTGGTTGTGTTGAACAAACGGGACCTCGATTGGATCAACGGTTAGAAAATTAGAAGGAAAATTGTAAAACACAAAACTTAAAAGGCCCGTTAGGGGGCCGAAATTACGAAATGACCATCGAAACCACCAAAACTTGGGATGGACAGCTTGTTTAAGCCTAAATAGACTTGTAGGAAAAAACGGGACCTCTATTGGATCTCCGGTTAGAAAATTAGAAGGAAAATTGTAAAACACAAAACTTAAAAGTCCCGTTTAGGGGCCGAAATTGTGAAATGACCACCAAAACCACCGAAACTTGGCACAGACAGCTTGTTCAAGCCTAAATAGACTTGTAGGAACAAACGGGACCTCGCTTGGATCTCCGATTAGAAAATTAGAAGGAAAATTGTAAAATAGAAGACTTAAAAGGCCCGTTTGGGGGCCGAAATTTCGAAATAACCACTGAAACCACCGAAACTTGGCACGGACAGCTTGTTCAAGCCTAAATAGGCTTGTAGGATCAAACGGGACCTCGATTGGATCTCCGGTTAGAAAATTAGAAGGAAAATTGTAAAACATAAGACTTAAAAGGCCTGTTCGGGGGCCGAAATTGCAAAATGACCACCGAAACCACCAAAACTTGGCATGGACGGATTTTTCAAGCCTAAATAGACTTGTAGGAACAAACGGGACCTCGATTGGATTTCCGGTTAAAAAATTAGAAGGAAAAATGTAAAACACAAGACTTAAAAGGCCCGTTCGAGGGCCGAAATTTCGAAATGACTATCGAAACCACCGAAACGTGGCACGGACATCTTGTTCAAGCCTAAGTAGACTTGTAGGTGCAAACAGGACCTCAATTGGATCTCCGGTTAGAAAATTAGAAGGAAAATTGTAAAACACAAGACTTAAAAGGCCCGTTCGGGGGCTGAAATTGCGAAATGACCACCGAAACCACCGAAACTTGGCACGGACAGCTTGTTCAAGCCTAAATAAACTTGTAGGAATAAAAGGGACCTCGATTGGATTTTTGGTTTAAAAATTAGAAGAAAAAATGTAAAACACAAAACTTAAAAGGCCCGTTCGGCGGCCAAAATTTCAAAATGACTACCGAAACTACCAAAACTTGGCACAGACAGCCTTTTCAAGGCTAAATAGACTTGTAGGAACAAACGGGACCTCTATTGGATCTTCGGTTAGAAAATTAGAAGGAAAATTGTAATACACAAGACTTAAAAGGCTCGTTTAGGAGCCGAAATTGCGAAATGACAACCGAAACCACCAAAACTTGGCACAGACAGCTTGTTCAAACCTAAATAGACTTGTAGGAACAAACGAGACCTCGATTGGATTTCCGGTTAGAAAATTAGAAGAAAAAATGTAAAACACAAGACTTAAAAGGCCCGTTCGGGGCCCAAAATTGCAAAATGACCACTGAAACCACCTAAACTTGGCACGGTAGCTTGTTCAAGCCTAAATAGAGTTGTATGAGCAAACAACACCCGATTGGACTTCCCTTTACAAAATTAAAATCAAAATTGTGAAGTTCATATCGAGGTTTTTTTTTTTGTCAATCTAATATTATTTTTTCTTTTTTCATGTGACAGATTGGCAATGGTGGAAAATAGTTTGGGCTGCATCAGCAGATTTGATTTTGTGTTTTTGAAAATATTTTTACATAAGATTTTGGTAAATGATTTATGGATCAAATGTTTAGCATCAAAATATTAGGTTTAGTGTTTTTGCAAATATTTTGACATAGGATTTTAGTAAATGACTTGTTGGTTAGATGTTTAACATCAAAATATTTGGTTGTAATTTTGAAAATATTTTGACATAGGATTTGGTAATGTATTTATGGGTTTGATGTTAGTAGTTTGTAAGTACTTTGGTATGCATGTTTTAGATTGTCAGAGAATTGTAATTATGTTTATTGGGATTTTTCGTAGCTATTAATTTTGAATTAATATGAATGTCTTGCACAGGTGTATTATTATTTACATTACATTTGGTATATATTGTGCACAGGAAAACATGTGTTTTGGATTATTTTGAACAGGAAAATTATTAAAATCAAAATTTGTGTACTGAATTTTTAGTGACGGGTGGTATTTTGGTCGCTGTTAATA